TGTTTTTTTTAAAAAAAATCTTCACCCCAGGAGTGAGGATATTTCTTTCATTAATTTTTAGGGAGAGTAGAAAAAAGAGTCACTTTTTTAGGGGGGAGGGGAAAAGAGAGAGAGGAGAGAAAGAAACATTGATGTGAGAGAGACACTTCGATTGGTTGCCTCCTGCTCACTGGCAGGGAAAGGAGGGTTCAGGGGGATTCAACCTGAAACCTAGGTACGGCCGTTGACCAGGAATCGAACCCGTGACCTTTGGTCTGTGGGCCAACATTCTAACCACTGAGCAAAACTGGCCTGGGCCCTATAAGGCTTTTGCAGAGGCTGTTCTCTCTGCCTGGAATGTTCTCCCCTCCCTGTGTCTCCCAGTTAACCCCAACTTATTTTTGTATTTCAATTGGAGCATTCCCTTCTCAGAAAAGCCTTCTTCACCTTCCCAACTTGGTCAGTCCCCCAACCAGAGACTCTCACAGCCCCCTCCTTTCTCCTTCACAGGTCAAGGTTGTGGCTTTCCAGTTGTTTGTGAGATGCTTGATTAATGACTGTCAGCTCCCTGAGGGTAGGGGTTATGTCTGCTTTTGCTCACCATTGTTTCTCCACTATCTAGCTGGGTGTTTGGCACATAGTAGGTGCTCAATTAAAAGTTTGCTGCCCGCTGCCCAGGGAGAGATGATAGCCAGCAGACACCAAGACAATTAGGAGAGAGTCCCGGTCTGAAGAACTGATTGAGGAGCCTGGGTTTCCTCAGAGGTGAGAGCTGACACAGCCCGGGATAACTGGTGTCACCTGGAAAAGAATGGAGCAGTGAGAAGAGGGTAGGGGCTCCCCCCAGAATACCCAGGGTCCTCCTGCCCACCCCACTATCCATAAAGCAGGAGCTGGGCCTGGACTGGGATGGCTGGAGAAGCTCCTGGGTCCTACCACTCCCACTCAGGGCCACTGGGGCCCAGCTAAGTGGAAACAAATGTTCCTTGGCTTTTCCTAGCCCAGTCCTGGTGGGCCAGCAGCCCCTCCCTCTTATCCCCTGCTCCCTCCCCCTCCTTCTTTCTCCCTTTGACTGATGGGGTGATAGGAAGGTTGGGGACATGGATAGGGTTGCGAGATGTGGAAGATGGGAGGCAGGTGGGCTCTGTGGGGAACTGGGGCCTGGAGTGGGGGTTCCCTTGGACAAAGGCCCAGAGGGAGTCTCAGAGGAAACTTGGCCTGTGGGGCAGGGACAAGCCTAGCTAAAGCTTGGACATTTGAATTCCCACCCTCTCAGCTGGGAAGGTGTATTCTGATGACTTCAGGTGGGCTGGGAAAAGCTGGAGTGGAGGGATCTGGGGAACAGAAGGGAGAGGAAAGTGACTCTTTTTTCTATCTTTTTCTTTCCCTCCATCTCTCTAGAGAGTTGGCCTGTCCTCTGTTCTCCTGGGACCCAGAGACCCAGGGCCCTGAGGAATTCTGAAGCCCTGCCACCATCCTAAAGGAATGAGAGTTAGGTCCCATTGCTGGGAAAGAAGGGAGGGAGGGCAGTGGGGAGGGAGGAAGAGAGAGAGGTTATTGGGAGGGGAAGGGTCACAGGCCCAAATTCCTGGGCTCCTGCAGCTTCAGTTCTTTTGAGAAACAAAGAAACAGAGAAAGTGATTTAGAGACAGACACAAATAGAGACTGAATCATGGAGATGAAACGTGAAAAGACACTGAAAGAGAGAGAGAATCCGACAGAGACAGAGGGCTCTGCTTGTGCCTGCAGCGATTCTGATGTTATCTTTCTCCAGGTGCCTCTCTCCCCTCCACAGTCCCCAACTCTCCCCCTCCTTCCTCTCCAAACCCACAGCCAGACACCCATGTCTCTCCTTCCCATCTCTCTTTTGCATCAGGGCCTAGACTTGGAATTAACAGGTTCTTGGGACTTAAGGCAGAGCAGTGGGGGGGGGGGGGGTGAGGAGAGGGTGCCCAGTGCTCAAAGAACAGAGAGCGGGGGATTAGAGGGGCACCATTCCATTCATGCTGCCCACGTCTGGGCTGCTGTGTTCCCATTCCAATCTCTTGTGACCCTTTCTCTACATGCATGTCTGTGCAGAGGTGGTATGTGTGTGTGTGTGTGTGTGTGTGTGTGTGTGTGAGAGAGAGAGAGAGAGAGAGAGAGAGAGAGAGAGAGAGAGAGAGAGAGAGAGAGAGAAATGTGCATGCATCTTGATCTGTCTTTGTGTGCCTCTGTCTCTAACTCCTGGTCCTTCTCTATGGAAAGCCTTCCAGGGTGATAGTGATGGCTTGAAGTCTTGGTAACTTCTGAATTCATCTACATGAAGGTTTGGAGGGTGTAAGGGCAGAAATCATTGCTCTGGCTCTGCCCAGGTGCCAGCCAACTCCTAGATGAGAATGCAGAGAAAGTAAAAGGAAATGAACAGAGGCAAGATTTCCCTTGAAACCCAGGCCCTGGTAATTGAGGCTTTGGGAGCCTGTCCATCACAGACTACAGCCCACACCTGCACTGCCCCAGTGCAAGCACCACTGAGCCAATTGGTTCTGGAATGGGACTCTGGGGTGGGAGGAGAGGACAAGGAATTGGGGAGTCCAGGGATGGCCAACTATTCTGCAAGATCTGACCAGAGTACTGCAGGAGGGGTGGGGCTATCTGTGTGTGTTTGTAGGAAAGGTGGGGGGTGGGGGCAGAAAGGCCGCCTGCGGGGGAGAAGGCTTCTTGGCAAACACCCCAGTTTTCTGAGCTGATCCCTGCTCCCTGCCACTGCTCCCAATTCTGTTGTTTCAATAACATCATTTTTATCCACCCCACAGAGAGACTGTGTCTTAGAAGGGGGAGGCGAGGGGCAGGGCTAGGGCATGAGGGGGTGGTAATGGAGAGAGGCTGGGGTCTGGAGGCAGCTGGGACCAGATTTGGGGCGCTCCCTCCTTAGGCAGAGGCAGGGCGGTCCCAGAGCCCTGGTCCCCTGATGACAAAGACAAATACATTAAAATTCTTGCCTCCAAGAAGAATGCAGGATAGGGAGAGCATTTCATAATCTGCAATAACAGTAGCAGGGTGGGGGCAGGGGGTTCAGAACCCAGGCAGTGGATGGGAGGGGGGGCTGATCATTGGCCACCTGCAGCCTCCAGGGACCCCCACAGAGCCCCCAACAGTCTGTTCAGCACCATCTAGCCTGAATGTGTGCCTAACCTGGGCATGTCTTTGAGTGTGCAGTGCCCAGAGTTGGCATTGCCTTGCAGAAACAGCAACTGTGTGCAGGATTAATAGGTGCAGGGCTATGCATGGCATCTGGATGCTGGGGGGGGGGGGCGGGGGTTAAAATGGGAGAGGGCAGCACTAGACCATGTCCTCCTCATTAACTCCCTCAGCCACAGCTCCTCCTGCAGGGCCCCCTCCCCTTCTCTGGAGTAGCCCAGCCCCGCACCAGAACTCTCTGTACCCAGGAATTAGACCAGCACAGCCCAGACACCAGGGCCCTGGGGTGGAGCTCCCAGCAAACTCAGAGGCATCCCTATGTGCCTCGGTGAACATTTCTCCTTTTCCTTTCCCCACTTCTCACCCATCCTTTCCTTGCCCACATCTGCCTCCTCCTGTGGGTGGGCACCTGTGGTCTTCTGTCACACCCCTTGCCCCCCACTCTCATCTTGACCCACTTGTCTCTGCTCTCTGAGGAACTCAGAATCTTGCCTTCTCTGTTCACCACGGGTGTTTTTCTTGGAAGTGGCTTAACCCTCCAAGTTCAGGGGCTCCCCCCACTCAAACCACCAGGCGTCTTGCTGTGGGCGCCTGAGGTGTCTGCACCTCGGGCTTGAAGTCCGAGACCTGCCCTCCCCACCCCAATACCTTCCTAAAGGTTGATGGCCACTCTAGATAGAGGATGGTGGTTTGGAGACAGGCCCTTGCTGTGGAATGTCCGCACCACCTGTCCCTCAGCACCCCTGGGGCATGTGGGGCCGGAGGGGAGGAGCAGGGGCTGCAGCCGTTGTGAGCCCGAAGGCCGTGATGAATGGAGCTGTCCCTCCTTCCCACGGAGCCTTTGATCTCCCCGCGTGGGGAGGGGGCCAGGGGCATCAAAGACATTTTTGTAGCATTAGAGAATCGAATAAATGCCATCTCACCTGCAGCTGGCTCTCCTACCCCTTCTGGCCTCGCTAAGTTGGGGAAGCAACGTGAGGCAGGAACCCGCGGATACGCGAGGCCCGGCTGCAGTTCTGACCCCTCAGTCTCCTGCTCGGCTGCACCCTCGGCTCTCTCGGTCCGAGTCGGAGCGCTGGAGCGCAGACCATCAAGAGGTTCCCCTTGCTGTCTAGTCTCCCCTCCGCACCGCCCTCCCCGGAACGCGGGCTGGGAGAGGCGGGGTGGCTGGGGAGCGAGAGTGGAGGCCTAGGGCTTCCTCCTTTCCTCCAGGAAAGGCTGAGAAGGGGGCATGGGGCGCGGAGGCGGGCCCCGGTAAGGGGTGACCCCCTCCTGAGTCCGCCCGTCCCTACCCTCTAGTTCGATAGACACCCCGCCCAGGAGCACCCAGAGCCCCAGGCGGACTTCCTCTTCTGCTCCCCCCCTCGCTCAAGCAGCGCCCTCCGCACCGCCCTCCCCCCCCACCCACCCAAACTCCCTCATTCCTGGGAAGTTTTCTCTCTTTACAGTCAACAAACCTGTCAAACGTCTCCCTTCCAGCCCGTCCCCCATTCCTCAGCGCCTCTTCTCCCCCCCTCACCCCGCTCCACCCTGTTTCCCCGCCCTCCTTGCCCCCGACTCCCGCGACGGCGGGGGGCTCCCATTCCGCGAGAGGCGTGGTGAGGGGGCGAGGCCGGCGGGTCGGGCAGCCACGAGCGCGCGGCCCCGCCCCGGACCCTCGCTCCCGCCCTCCGCGGCGCTGCGCCTGCCGCCCCGGGGCTCCCCGCTCCCTCCCGAGAGTCCCGCCGCCTGACTGTCGCAACTGCCACCCCAACAGCCTCCCGGCCCCCGCCCCCGCCCGGGCCCCGCTCCCCTCCCACCCCCGCCCCCGGCTCTGATTTCTTCTCCCGAGCGAGCTCGGCAGGAGACTCAGGCGCTGGCTGCCCCGTCCGCTCTCCGCCTCCGCCGCGCCCTGGTCGCCCGGGATGGGCCCCCCCGCCGCCGCCGGAGCCGTCGCCTCCCGGCCGCCGCCAGAGCCGCACTCGCCCTGAAGCCCGGGCCCCGCGTGCACCGACTGGCCCTGCAGCCTCGCCCCGCTGCCCGCACCGGCGGGCGGTAGAGCGGTCACGATGCTGCCGCCCTTGCCCTCCCGCCTCGGGCTGCTGCTGCTGCTGCTGCTGTGTCCCGCGCACGTCGGCGGACTGTGGTGGTGAGTGCTGCAGCGCGCTGTCCCGGTGCGGCTCCCGACGCTCGCTCGAGGGTGGGGACCTCGTGACGGATTGCTCCGAACCGCGGTCCTGCTGCCGCCCGGCTCTACCTGCGCGCTGGGGCGGTGCGGGGGAGGTGCGTACCGCTCTCCTGCCGGCCTCCACCCGAGGCACTTCTCCACCACCGCTCAGGCGGCTCCAATCTACTCCAAACCCCCGCACATTCTATTGCATTTCCTCCTCCCGTGTCCTGCACTCCAGCTCCCTCCCAGGTTATGCGCTCAATCCAGGTCACCAAGGAACTGGTGGGTGGATAGGAAAACGCTACCGGGGAGACAGGGGGGAAGATCTGTAGTTAGAGATCCGAAGAAAAGAACACGCGAGGAGGGCTCTGGATTTAGGGGAGTTGGACCGGATTTGGGAAAAAGAGAGGGACAAGGTAGGAAGTCATAAGCAGGGTCAAACGGCTGCCTTTTCCCCGCCCCACTTTGCCCACACATCTACCTACTTCTCTCTGAGCTCCTTCAGTGTGAGCGGGAGTGGCAGGAAAAGGACGGAAAGGGGAAACTGAGTCAGGACCTTGGCTTTCTCTATGTCCTCCTCCCCGAGCAGAGGAGGAAAGGCAGGAGAGGGACCCAGGCGCCTGGACCTTGCGGATATGGGATCAAGGATCAAGTAAATGTGCAGCTCAGGAACCGGAGAAGGTCCGGTGGAAGGGAGGGAGGCTTGGTCAACCAAGAAATGAGGACATCTTTCCGGAACTGGCCTTAGCTAGAGCAGACACCTAGGCAGCGAAGGGTGCAGCAACTTTGAGTCTTGGGGCTGGAGTAAGGACTGGGAAGGTGGGTGCCAAGTCAGGACCATTCGGATATCTGGGTCCCGCGGACTTTTTCCTTTCCAGTCTCCAGAGCCGCAAAAACCATCCCGGAATAGCTTTAGTGTTGAGAGAGGAGGGACTTGGACAACATCGCTGAGGCATCAGCCAATCCTAAGGAGGCAGGGTCTTGCCTATTTGCATATCGCCACGTCATTGGCTGGATGCTCTACACTCCACTCCTCCCCCATCCCAGGATTTGGAAGGCGGGGTGGAGCAGGCAGGTCTGCCTCTTCTAGGGAGATGGAGAGGAGGATGCCCACACAGGGAGTTGCTGGCGGGAGAGCATCCCTCGGGGTGTCAGCGAGGGGGCAAATTGAGGACGACCCAGGTTCCGGCTAGGCAACATGTGTCCTTTGCTCCTGTCTTAGCATAATCCAGTAGCAGCTTTGAAATAGACCTGAGATCTAACCTGCTCCTTTTGTTAAATCTGCGACCCTTGGGCAGGTCACTTTTTTGCTGCCCGCCCCCCGCCCCCCCCACACCCCCCCAGCAACGTCTCAACCATAAAACAGGGAAACAATCCTTCTACCTGGCAGGCTTAGTCAGAGCATTAGGTGGGATAATTTGCAAAGTTATCTGACATTGGGAGGTACTCCTTAAATGTAGTTCCCTCCTCCACACCCCAGGTTCTCCTAGCCAGAGACCTCCTGGGTGTAAAGGGATATTTGTTTAAGTTTAAAGTCCAGGGTCCCAAGCAAAACTTCGTAAAGGGGTCTCTCTTGTGCTCTCCAAAACCTTTCTTAACTTTGCCCTTTCTCAGGGTGGGACAGGGGTTTCTCCCTGATAGTTGTTGCCTTACCTCCCTTCCCTCTCCATTTGTCCAAATTGTCCTCATCCTTCCGATTAAAATGACACTTCCTCCAGGAAGCTGTCCCTCTGTCTTCTCTCCCTTTGCCTTCTCTGTGCTCCCAATGCACCATCCCATGCATTGAGCAACTACGCCAGTTACTGCATTTTGACAACCATCTCCTCTTGTGTCTCTCTCCCCTGGCCTTGGAAACCAGAGCCTTGGCTTTTGGGGTCCTGGAGGCTAAAAGCGCTGGGGACAGTTTTACGGAGTGTTACTGGTTGGTTGATTCTCCTTCTGGGATTTGTATCTGTGGGGGGACCTTTGTTCAGGAAGGGTTGCTGGGTAAGAGCCAAACCAGAGGGAGGGAGACCTGATCCTTTGGAGACTGACCCTGAAGCTGGGAAGCAAGGAGTGGGGGAGGAGGTGAGGAGGGCAGGTGTGGGAGAACACAGAGGCCTTCATGGCCACAGCTGCAGGGCAAGCAGGGTGCAGAGTGAGGGGCTGGGCTGATAAGATGTCCAGAGACTGCCTCGCTCAGATGCTTCCCAGATAGAACCTGCCTCTCCTGCCCGCCTTGGCCCTTCGCACTCCTCTGTCTGTTTCTGATACTTCTTTCTTTTGGTCGGAGCCCAGATTCCCTTTCTCAGGACCTTTGACTCTAGTTGCTTTCACTCCTGTTCCCACCACACCCATCATTGCCCTCCAAGATCAGGCATGGGCTGATGGCCAGACCCAGCAGCCCAAGTGGCCTGAGGCTCCTGCCATTCTTTTTCACCCTCACCCTCCAGCTTCACTTTGGCCAGGAGCTTTTCCAGGCCAGGAACTTCCAGGCTGTTCTCTGAGGCCTAGGACCTACTTGCTGGCCCTCTTCTCCCTACTTCTCAGGTTAGGGCTCCAGTGGTGGAGGAGGAAGCAGTGACCGGCAGCAGCCCACTGCAGTCCACTCGGACATTCCAGCAGTGGCCAGACTGGGAGCAGAGCAGACCCCAGGAACTCTGAATGACAGGGCTGTCCTGGATAGGAGAGGAGGGTCCTTCCTGGAGTGGAGTGGCCCTGGCCCTGGAATAGGCTCAGGGACCTGGCTCCTGGTTCCAAAGGTTTCTCTCACTTCCGTCCCTCTCCCCCTTGTTCCCTTGATGGAACTGATGCTTTCTAAACTCTGCCCCAGCCTCTTTGCCTGCCTCTCTCACATCTGTAACTATATCCTTGTGCATTGCAGAATCCGAGGACACTGACCAGGCTGTCTTGTCCAGCCAGTGCGCTGACCCTGACAGGTCCTATTTTGGGAATGAGTCAGAGAGAGGGAGAGGCTATAGCTTCCAGGGCACCAGTTCCCTTCTACCTGTTCCCCGACAGTCCCACCCTGAAAGTTCTTCTTAAGTCTGACCCATCTATATTTATCCTTTAATTAGTGGATGTAGAAAATAGCTCACTTTCACAGAATAGCCAAATTAATCTCCCCTTTTCTCTCTTCCTCTTTCCTCTTTCTGTTTTATATTTCCTATGAAAGAAACTAACCCTCCCCTTATTCCACTGGGAAAAGCACCACCCAATCCCACCCCGTCCCCCCATCTCATCTTGCCTTTCACCACCACCCCCTTCTTTATAGAAACAGGAACCATGGGCCTAAGATAGCCTCATATCTGGCCCCACAGGGAGACAGGGAAAAGACAAGGCTCCTTCCTGAAACCCGGGTTTTCCAGCTGTGACCCCCACCCCAAGCTGGGCCTGGCCACCCTTTCCCATCCCATCTTTATCTGGGGCCCTCACCCTTTGTGGGCAGTCCTGTTGCTGGTCCCTGCCAAGCTCAGGGCGCGGTGGGGATGGGGGTGGGGTGGTCATCCAGTCCCACCCTCCAGGCCTCCTGCCTTGGCAGCTTCCCTGGAGGAAGACAATGGTGCTGTGAGCAGAAAAGGGCAGGGGCAAAAGGAGGCTGGCTCAATCTGGGCCAGAGCATGCCCTGAGCCCACCAGAGTCCTGGCACTGTGACACTTCCTGGGAGGTGCCAGCCCTCTCCTGCCCAGCTCTCATCAGAAGCCAGGAGTTGGTGGGGGGAGGTCAGTGGGAGGCTTGATCACCAGGGCTCAGCGAGGGGGATTCAAATGTGTACTTTGATGAAGAAATGCAGCTGTGGAGGGGATGAGGCCAGGGCGGGGCAGGCAGCCAGGCCTGGGTCAGGCTGGCAGCAGGGCACCCAGCCAGCCAGAGCAGGAGGCACTCGGGGAACAGAAGCCTGTCCCTGGGGACTGGGTAAGAGTCCTCTAGCCGCCCTCCTTCCTGCCTGCAATGGGATGGGAGGAGACCTTAGGTGCTGCCTGGACTGCCTGAGGAAGGGAAAGGTTGCTGGGAGGGTTCTCCCGTTTTCCACCTGGCCTCTTAGGCTGGTTCCTCCAGCTCTGAACCCTCCATTTACTTCAGAAATTAGACCAAGACAGGACTTAGAGATCATCTGGCCCCATCTTGTCACTTACAGTAAGAAGTCCAGCAAAGTCCAGGGATAGGAGATGGCCAGAGGCCACACAGAATGTAGGCTGCTGAGGGTGGGAGCCAGGAGCCTACCTCCTGCTGAGGATCTCACCCTGGGTGCCATTGGGGGTGGGAGTCAGGAAAGGGGTACTGAGTTTCCCCCATCTCTGCCCCCACCTAAATATGGGAGAGCAGAAGGCACAGATTGAACTCAGGGGATCCAGTAGGAGGTTCAATGTGTCTACTCTTTGGCCTCCCACAGCCCTGATCAATAGGAAGCTCTCTTGTATGGTGAAGTCCATACAAGAGGAATGGGAAGGAGAGAAGTGTGAGGAGGTGGGAAGGGCAATGTCCAGGACAGGGCACAGGGAACCGAATTGGGGTAGGGTGGGGTGGGGAGGGGTGGTGGAATAGGGTGGCTGGTGGGTGGTGGGGAGGCATGGGTTAATGGAACTGGGGCATCACTGGCTTTGATGTGGTGGTTGGGGTGGGAGTAGGGACTGGGGGAGGGGGAGCAGTAATTAGGGAGTTAGACAGAGCAGGACAGGACAGGCGGGCGGGCACAGGCCCGGGCCCAGCCGCCTCCGCAGCCGTCAGGCAACATTTTTCTGCCCCTTCTCCACCACCCACCTCCCCCACCCCCGTGCAACCCCCACCCACAGCCCCAGGGTTCAGGGCTCCCTCTGCTGGCTCCTGGAGGTGAGGGTCAGATGAGGGACCCCGGGGGGGGGGGGGGGGTCGGGGGGCGGGTAGAGAAAATAGAGAGCTGGCTGTGAGACCTTTCAGAGGAGGCTGGGCATCAAAAGGGTCTGTGATCCCCTTGGCCTCAAAAATCCACCCAGGAGTGCTCATCAGGGAAGGGGGGTGGGAGTCCTGGAGGGTCCTCTGGTCCATGGGCAGGGCTGGTAGGGGAGGAGACACAGGCTGAGAAGTGTAAGTTGGAGAAGAGAGAGTTCTCAGGAATCCACAGACACCGCCTGCTCTCCTACTGTTTGCCCTGCACTGAGCAGGCCAAGAGATAAATAAGGGTGTGAATGGCAAGACAAAAATCACTTGTGGAAGCCCACTCTCTGGACAGTCTCTTTTCACAGGTCACCTGGGAAGTGGGCAGGTGTTACTATTTGCTTCCATTTCACAGATGCAGAAACCGGCTCAGAAGGTTAAGTCTCAGCAGTCATTCAGCAAATACTAAATGCCAACTTCACATGCTAGGGATTTGCTCCACGTCACAGAATAAGCAAGCAGCAGAGCCCAGATCCAACCCCATGTCTGCTGGATCCCCAAAGCCCTGCATGTACTCTGCTACTGATATTATGCTTCCTCATGAGATCTTTGTCTTTAATGAGTTTCCTATCTAATTGGAGAAATAGACAAGAATACAGGACAAAATAATTATGCCACTGGCAGGATTACAAGCACCTGCCCTTCTCCCCCAAATGAGTGACAGGCAGAATGATGTAGAGGGAGGCATGGGGCTCAGAGGAGGCACCTTAGGGCCAGTGGTATCTAAGGTGAGCTTGGAGAGATGTTGGGGAAGATTTTCATGACTTAGGGGGTACGGAGGGGCTGGCTCTGAGTCCAGAAATTTAGCAGTAGAATCTGGGATGGCTGCAGAGTTACCCAATCCTGCTAGGAGTAAGGGCTGTATGGAGGCTGGCATGTGAGGCTACCTAATGTCTTCTGATACCTTTGGTGGCCATTTCCCTCTGGCCCTTTGGTTTTTAAAATATTTACCTAAGTTTCTTGCAATGAGACCCCCCCCCCCCACACACACACACACACACTGAGTGGTCAGTGTTGGTCACCTCCCTTCTCAGATTGTGCATCTGTATAATGGAGGTCAGGTTGGTGGAGCTGGACTGCATGGCCTTGGGCATTCTCTTAGGCCCTGTGAATCTGGGAAAGGAAAGGTAGAGCAGGCCAGGACCCCGGGCCCCTAGAGTGGGATCTACAGATGTTGTGCCCTGGGAGGAAGATTTTGGCGCAGGCCAAGCCAGTTAGAATGGCTAACCCTAGGCTTGTCCCTTCTTGTCTGCATACTGATTTCTTTTAAAACTAGCCTCATTGTTTCTATGCCCAGGAATGTCTACTTGATTAGGATCACAGACCCTACATATTCTATATTACATATTTCTTACCACCTTGTGTTCCAGCCCCCAAAACATGCAGATGTTCCCAAACGGGCACAGCTTCTGTGGGCTGATCCCAGGACAATGCTGACTCAGAGCATGAATAACAGAGTTCATTCCCTAAGGAAGCAGAAGGGAAGGAAGGAGGGTAAAGGAAGAGGAGAGATGGGGGAGTTATTTTTTGATGTGGAGTCAAGTGTTAAAGTTAGAGGGGGTATGCGAGCCTTTCATGCTAGCTCCTCATGTTTCTGAAACCCAGAGAGGGAACCGACTTGCCCAGAGTGGCTCAGCTCACCCAGAGCTGACAGAGACCAGGGTATTGAAGCCAGGCTCAGTGTTTTGCCCAATGCTGCCCTGCCACTCATTTTCTGGAGTTCCCTTTCCTGTGACTTTAGGATGGGAGCAAGAACAGGAGGGCAGGGAGCAAATGGGTCCCTTGGGATTCTGGCTGCTACTACTGCCCATCCCTTCTCCTGACCAGCTTGTAAACAAGTCTAGTTCCCAGGCAGCCAGGAATCCTTCTGAGTCTTCTATCTCTAGCCCCTGGGAAACAGATAAGGTCAAGAGATTTCTGCCTTTCTCCCCTGCATACCCCCTCCATCCCCTGGGACAGGAGGAGGGAGAAGTGAGGGATGGGGCAGAGTAACCTTGGGAAGATAAGGCCAGTCGACCTTGGGAAAGTAGGGAGTTAGAGGACAGGGTTGGGGAGGAGAACTGGAGAACTTAGTAGCAGGGGGGAGTGTTGAGTGTGTAGAGCCCCAGACTCCTAGGTGGAGGCCTGGACATGTGGTGGCAGGAGAGGACCTGGACAGCCTGGGAAGGCCTGCTTCCCTGCCTTTGAATCCAGTGGGAGAAATAAAATGTTTCCGGAAAGCAATTAGGAGTCATAAAGTGACATGTGGACAGGGGCTGGGCTCAAGTAAGGATTTTTCTCCTTAGATGGCTCATTTATTCATTCAAAAACATGTATTAAATGGTTTTCATTATATTATTATAATAATTGTTCATAATATGCAAAATTTTCATTAAAATCGAGGGGAAATATGAATTAAGCACCTTAAAATCTGCCTAGGAGACAAAAGAAAATGACACTTCTAGCTCTCAAGGTGCTTATAGTCTTATCTGCTGACCCTATATGACCTTACTGGAAGCTGCCTCAAATTCTTTTTGTAATGAGGTGAAATAAGTGGCTGGAGGTGAGGATAGATAGATAAATAGATAGAGGTCAACTCTTTTTAAAATTAAAAAAAATGTTTTTATGGATTTCAGAGATGAAGGAAGAGAGAGATAGAAACACGCCTCACACTGGGGATTCGAGCCTACAACCCAGGCATGTGCCCTGATCAGGAATCAAACTGTGACCTCCTGGTTCATGGGTCAACACTCAACCACTGAGCCACACTGGGCAGTAGAAATCAATTCTTGAAGCACCTAAAATTCTTGAAGGTCACTGAGCCACTGGGAGCCCGCTTGGCTGCCCTACCCTTGGCCTGCTCCATCCATCACTTCTCTAGGGTTGGGAAAGGGTTGGGGCCTCCCCAGGCTACAGTTGGAATGCAGTGATGGGCAGGTCCTAAGCATGGAGGAGGGAAGGTCTGGACCAGCGATTTTCAACCTTTTTCATCTCATGGCACACAGAAACTGATTACTAAAGTTCTGCAGCACACCAAAAATGTGTCAATCTGACCCCAAAAATTAGGTATAATTTTGATTTATTCACACCAGACAACTATTGTTGTGTTGGCTGTTGTCATTTTTTTTGTTTAATAATCTAAGGGAAAAGAGGTCAGTGCTATGCACATTTTTACTAATAGTCAGGTATTGCATGTTTTAAAAATTCTTACGGCACACAGGTTGAAAAATCGCTGGTCTGGACTATAAGTCTCTCCACTGAGGAGAGAACGCTGGCTCCTGGACTTCTTGGAAAAGGATGATAACAATGATCTGTCGGGTGGTGTGTGTATGTGTGTGTGTGTGTGTGTGTGTGTGTGTTTGTGTGTGTGTGTGACTTTAAAGGACTTACACATCTTCCTGCAACCACCTCTTCTTCAAGCATCTCACTCCTTAGTGTTAAGTTCTATCTTAAGACCTAAATTCCTCTTGCTGCTATTTAAGCCCATTACATTTCATTGTTGTTGGGCCAGAACATGCCTGGGAAGCCTGTACTTGTGGAGCAAATGGGGACAGTGGGGGGTGGAGTACACTGAAGCTAAACTGAAAAGAAGCCACCTTGACCTTTGGCACCTATCTACCACCATTTTCCTCTACATTTCCTATTTCCTGATGCCACTTTCTCTCCCCGCCCAGAGAGCCTTTTTCTGCCCTCTGTGAAGGGTTTTTGAGTGGTCTCAAATTACCCTCAGCTCCCAAGTGCTCGACTCACTCATTCCTACAAGACAGGCATACCAGTTAAGCATTCAAATAAGAGCAATCTGATGAAAGCCCTTTCACCCAGGTGTGAATACCCAGCCAAGTTAACCTTCACGGGCCTGGTATGGAGACCACATGGTAGAATGAAGGCTGGGAATGTGTGTGGGAGCCAGCATGGTGGTGGGAATGGAGGGATTTCTGAAAGTGTGTGGAGCTTCCCATGAGGTCTTTCCCCACCTCTCAGGGTCCCCCTTCTCCAATCAGTTATGTCACCCCAGTGCACAGGGCTTGGCTTGCTGCCCTGCTGCTCTGCAAAGGCCACAGTTCCTGGAGTAGGAGACGGGTCGCTGTCACCTGCTTCTCAGTGCTTCAGAGACTCAGCCCCCAGCTCCTTCTTCCTGCTCTCCAATTCAGGGAAACAGAGGATCTCAGGGTGGGAGGGCCCACCTTAGAGACCAAAGCCCATCCTTCCCATTGTACAGAATGAGAAACTTGGGCTGGAGAGGGAGTGTGACTTCCCTCAGAGGCTCCATTCCCCAGCCATTCTAACATCAGATGGCTTTCTATAGTCCTTGGAATTGCCCATGCCTTTCTAGCATCAGGACTGTTCAGCTGACACATAGCCAGCTTGTGGTCCACTAAGACCAGTTCTTTTCTGATCTTTTTCTAAAATCTTTTTCTTTTCTTTGACAACCTTCTTGATCTTCCTTCTGTTAATTTCTTCCTTGTCTCCCTTTGGGCAAGGCCTGTTGAATTTTAGTCTTGGCCTATCTGCTGCCAGCTGCCTTCACCTTGAGTCAAATTATATAAGGATTTATTAGTAAAAATGTGCATAGAAGGACAAGATTGAATTCTTGCTCTACAGTGATTTCAGTCTACTCTAGTTAAAAGGGAACACAGATATGGATGGAATGGCAGGGGAACCAGATAGGAGAATCTCAATGTTAGTTGGTGGTGGTGGGAGGCGTATCCCGGCTCCTGGGCTGTGGGCTGAGGGCGGGGGGGGGGGGGGGGGGGGGGTGGTGGTGTTGGTCTCCATCTCTGTCACCCCCAACCCTTGGAGTTACACCCCTGACTTGCTGTGTTTTGCTTCCCAGGGCAGTGGGCAGCCCCTTGGTCATGGACCCCACCAGTATCTGCAGGAAAGCACGGAGGCTGGCAGGGCGGCAGGCTGAGTTGTGCCAGGAGGAGCCGGAAGTGGTGGCTGAGCTGGCGCGGGGTGCCCGGCTTGGGGTTCGAGAGTGCCAGTTCCAGTTCCGTTTCCGCCGCTGGAACTGCTCGAGCCACAGCAAGGCCTTTGGGCGCATCCTGCAGCAGGGTCAGTGTGAGGAGGGAACCTCCGGGCTCAGAGGAGAGGGTGGAAGTTTGGGGAGGCTGCCGGAGCCCCACCTCTCCCACAAATCTTTGGGCACCCTGCCCTGACCCTGTCTTCCAGCCCCACCTCACTGCCCCGCCCACCGCAGTCCCCTAGGACTCAGCTTTGATGCTGTGCTGACTGCTCCTCCCTGTCCCCACAGACATCCGGGAGACCGCCTTCGTCTTTGCCATCACGGCGGCGGGCGCCAGCCATGCAGTCACGCAGGCCTGCTCCATGGGCGAGCTGCTGCAGTGTGGCTGCCAGGCACCCCGCAGGCGGGCCCCACCGCGGCCCCCTGGCCTGCCAGGCACCCTTGGGCCCCCTGGCCTTGTGGGCTCCCCAGAGGGCAGTGCAGCCTGGGAGTGGGGAGGCTGTGGGGACGATGTGGACTTCGGGGACGAGAAGTCCAGGCTCTTTATGGACGCGAGGCATAAGCGGGGAAGTGGAGACATCCGAGCGTTGGTGCAACTTCACAACAATGAGGCGGGCCGGCTGGTGAGTATGGGCAGGGCTGTGTGAGAGGGTGTGCGCGCACAAATGTGGGAACGTGTGCTTGTGTCAGTGGATGTGGGACAGTGTGGTGAATGTGTAGGAGCATTTGTGGAAGTGTGTGAGAAGTGAGGGTGTGAGAGAGGGTTTGTATGTGCAGGAGTGTGTTAACATGTGTGGGAGCTAGTGTGGTGGTGGGGGGCCACTTGGGAAGATTGGTTGGGGGGCTGGGAGAGCCTGGGGCAGGTTGTCACCCAGGGAAGAGGACTAAATTGAGGCTTTTAGGGACCCCAGGTAGAGAGGGCATTCCTCTGAAACAGGACAGGTGGGGTAAAGCTTAGGGTGGTTAGAGATGTGGCTGCCAGGGCAGGGACAAGAGGATGGAGACAAAGGTCTTGAGGTAGGGGAACCAGGAGGTGTGAGGGAGGCCTGGAAAGGGGCTAGACCAAGGGGCAATGGGCTGGATCCTGGTGGAGGCAGGAGGGGGTCAGGCAGAGGCCAGGAAGCTGTGACTGAATCTGGGCTCTTGTCAGCTGGCCTCCCAGCAACCCTAGACCAGGCCCTGCCCAGACTCGGGCAGCCTCTCCCCTTCCCTCTGCAAGGAGGAGGCCCAGGAGCTTGTTTAGGGACAAGAAAGCTATCTGGGCCAGATGTCTCCAAGGGGAAGGACAGAACCTGGGAGGGGGAGGGACACAAATGTCTATAATCAGATTGGTCCCTAGACTCTGAGATTCCAGAGATGATCTTCCTGGGGCTTTTGGCCCCATAAATCTCTAGTGGGGTTGTGACTCTTAGACATAAACAGCAAATAGAGGGCAGGACGCCTAGGTTCCAGTTCTCAGTAGTGCGTCCACAGTGGGCCCCTGCCTCAGTTCTAGGGTGCTCTAGGGGCATCCCCACACATATCCTGTATTTTCTAGAGTTTGGGGCTGAGTGAGGCATGGGCAGGGGGTAAGAAGGGGCCCAGAGAGGTATGTCCTGACAGGCCCACATACCTGTCAGAGAGGGATGGGGAGGGATGGTGGAGACAGACGCCTAAGGGGCGGGCTCTGCGCCTCTGCTCAGCCCTGCCTGGTGCCTTGAGGGTTGGCAGGAGGGAGAAGGTGCGACAGCTACCACCACCACCTCCCCTGCTCCAGGGAGATTCTCACCTGCGCAGTCCATTCTACTTTCTCCCCATCCTCTGGCTTTGGATCCCAGAATCCCTGCGCTGCATTCTTTCCCCCACTCCCCACTTCTACCTCTCCATCATTGTCATCTTACCCTCCACCCTTGATTTCCTCCTCCTCACCTTGCACTCTTTTTTTTGTTTGGTCTGCTCTTTCCTCTCTTCCATTCCCCCCTCCCACCCCACCCGCCCCGCTTATTTTCTGTCTGTGGGTCCTCTGGCCCTTTCCGCGACCCGCACCCCACATTTGTCTCCATCCGCCTGCTCTCTGCTCCCTGCAGGCAGTGAGGAGCCATACGCGCACTGAATGCAAGTGCCACGGGCTGTCGGGCTCATGCGCTCTGCGCACCTGCTGGCAGAAGCTGCCCCCGTTCCGAGAGGTGGGCGCGGAGCTGCTCGAGCGCTTCCACGGCGCCTCGCGTGTCATGGGCACCAACGATGGCAAGGCTCTGCTGCCCGCGGTCCGCAATCTCAAGCCGCCGAGTCGCGCTGACCTACTGTATGTCGCCGACTCGCCCGACTTCTGCGCCCCCAACCGGCGCACAGGCTCTCCAGGCACGCGCGGCCGCGCCTGCAACAGCAGCGCCTTGGACCTCAGCGGCTGCGACCTGCTGTGCTGCGGCCGCGGGCACCGCGAGGAGAGCGTGCAGCTCGAGGAGAACTGCCTGTGCCGCTTCCACTGGTGCTGCGTAGTGCAGTGCCACCAGTGCCTCGTGCGCAAGGAGCTCAGCCTCTGCCTCTGACCTGTCGCCGGCCTCTCCCAAGGCGCGCAGCGCTGCCTCTCTACCTGTGTGACCTCTGGGCTCCAGCAGGAGGCGCTGCCGTGGCCCAGTTTACCCTGGCAAAAGTCCATCTCTCAAGCCTCTGGAAACTGAGGTTGGAGATATTCGCGTGCCCAGGACGGCCCAGTGCGGCGGAGGGATCCCCAGAGGTGCTTTAACGGTTCTGGGGAGACTGTACGCTGCAGGGAGCTCCGCGGTTTCCCTCTTTTGGTCCCAGATGGAAACTTATCTGGGCCTCTGGATGCGGGGTCCTCAGAACTGCTGGCCATGTGCTGGGTGGGTGAGTTTAGTATCAATAAAGATATTTAAACCAATAGGACTGGGACCACAGTTTGGGAGGGGGGCTGGTCTCCTGCGGGTTGACATGGGACCAGGCTCTGGAAGGAGTGTCTAAAGGGAGATGGTTTTGATAGAACTGGGTCCCTCTCCCCCCCCCCCCCCCCATGGGTCTGGGCTCTCCTGGCAACCATGGTGAAGAGTGCCAAATCTCCCCTTGGCATTCTTCTTGTTCACTCTTGTCACACATCTAGGGCCTGGATCTACAAGCCGGGGAAGAAGTAGCAATCCCTCTTTAAAGGAACAGACTCTGAGAGGGTTTGGGGAAAGCAGACGGGAAGCCTCTACTGGTATACTCAGCTCTCATCAACATTCTAGGGGAGTGTGATACCCTCATCTGCCCTTCTGTTTCTGTGATCCCTGGGGGATTTGTGGGTAGACTTTTAGGACCACCCAAGCCCATAGGATTAAAGCACTTTATGAACTATAGAATGTGATGAAATATGTTATTACTAACATCAGACTAAACATTTGAAACTAACTTTACCCCCATTAACACTGAAAAGACTGCTCAGAACAGCATTTCTAATTACACCTAGAGGGAGACAAAGAAAAGTTGTTCCAAGGTTTTTCCTGGCACCCAACTACATTTCCTCCCTTCTAGCTCTTTCTCAGGAAGCTGACGGTTAGTGTGGAGGGAAGAGAGGAAAGGTTTGGGAGATCTGGGCTCTCCAGAGCTGAACTTCATGCCCCCATCGTCCTCCAGAGAGAATGGGGGAGGGAATAGCCAAAAGGCTAGGATTCAAAGCTCCCAATATTGTCATAGTCCAAATACTGTACATGCCCCCTTCAAGGTATGTAGGGCAAAGCAAGAGCTTTGGGTCTGAAGCTGGTGCTGCTGCTTAGAAGTTTACAGTACAGATCATGTGAGTCTCAGTTTCTTTACTTATATAATGGGACTATCCTGTTTCAGTTATCCATTGCTGCATAACAAACAACCCCAACAAAACTACTTCTCACGATCCTTTGGGTCAGGAATTTGTCAAAGCTCAGCTTGGTTGTTCTGCTCTTTATTGACTGTAGTCATTCACTTGGCTGTACTCCACTGGTGGCTGGGCTGGGCTGGACACTCAAAGAGGTTTCACTCATATGTCTAGTGCCTCAGAGCTTCTCCAGTGGCCTTCCTCTCCATGTGTCTAGCTTGGGCTTCCTCAGAGCATGGTGGCCTCGGTGTAGTGGGACTTCTTACATAGGCTGACGTTTGAAATAGACTGTGCCAAACTGGGAGGCAGAAGCTGCCGGTCTCTTCTTTTAGTTCCAGCTTTGGAAGTTGCACAGCATCTCTCTATTGGTCGGCACTAGTCATAGAATCAGCCAAAATTCAAGGGGAGGAGAAATAGACTCCACCTCTCCATGGGAACGTGGCGAAGAATTTGCAACCATTATAATCCATCCCACATCCTCATAGAATTGTGGGGAGGACATCTTTGGACTATGGAGAGCACTCAGCACAGAATAATTTATGTGAAATGTATGCTTAATAAATGGTAGTTACTGTAAGAATGGGAATAGAAAGCAGCTGGGTTGTTGTTGTTGTTGTTGTTTGTAGGTATTAGGCAGACCCTGATTAAAAATAACGATACCCAACTCAAACTAGCTTGGTCCAGCCTGGCCCGTGTGGCTCAGTGGTTGAGCTTTGACCCAGGAACCAAGAGGCCACAGGTTCTATTCCTGGTCAAGGCACATGCCTGGGTTTTGGGCTTGATCCCCAGTAGGGGTCATGCAGAAGGCAGCTGATCAATGATGCTTCTCTCTCATCTCATCGATGTTTCTATCTCTCTCCCTCCCTCTTTTCTCTATAAAACTCAATAAAGACATATTTTTTTTTAAATGAGCTTGGTCCAAAGAAAGTTAATGAATGGGTCTTATACCTTGGAAGTCCAGGGGTAAAAGTGAATTCAGGCACAGTGAACCCAGGGGCCCAAAGGGTCATACGTCTCTTTTCCCACCTCCACCCCACATCTATTGTTTCTGCTTACCTCTGCCTCTCTTTTCATGCTATCCTCATTCTCGCCTACTGCCGATTGACTTTCTCTAAATGACAGCCTACATTCCTAGAGCTAGTGATATGAAAAGGAATGGCCTTCTAAGCAGAAGTCCTGAGGAAGACCCTGACTGGGTCAGCTTGGGTTCCTTGCCTATTCCTGAAGCAATAACAATGTCCAGGGAGATGAACTACTTTGACTGGGATTGACAGCCCCACTAAGACCACAGGGAATAGGGGCACAGGGAGGATGGCAGAGTTCTTTCAATGAAACAGAAGGAAAGGGAACTTATCCTGGACGTGCCAGACCCTAACCATGGCTTCTAGTGCATTTGTCCCCTCTGCCCCTCAATGCCCCTCCATCCTCATCTATGACCTAGCCTGGTTCAGACCTCAAGGATCAGGTTGGGCCCCAGCATGTGGCATGTATGGAAAGGGGGTATAGGCTGCTGTGGGAAGGAAGGAGCATCTGGGTTTTCCTTCCTGCTTCTCCTGGCTCCCTTGGGTCAAATGCCTGGGCTTCAGGGAGGTGTCATGGAGAATTTGGACTTAGAACTTCTTGTACAAGCGGACTTGAATAACTTACAAAGGGAAGAGAGTGGAACTGGTGTTGTGGGCCATGTGGAGGTGAAATGAAGCTTCCTACAGATAGGGTTTTTATTCACATCTCTGCCTTCCCCAGAGCTCTTTGATGGGTACAATACTTTAAAAAATAATATCCTGAACTTCTTTCAGAGACCACCAGAGGGTGCACAGAGCCCAGTTTCCCTATTAAAAGGGACAACAGAACCTGCAGGACGTTTAGGGAACTCAGAATGGTAGGCAGGAGAAAGGATGAAAGGAAGCAAGGAGACCCAGAGACAGTTTAGGTTAAGCTGCTAGGGTTCCAGATTGTCTGGGATGCCTGCCTCCCCATCTTTACTTCCAGGTCCAGGGGAGTGGGGGAGTAGAGAGTGTATGGGGTGGGTGATAGTGGACATTCTTCTCCATGATGCCAGAGAAGGAAACTGAGGCAGTGGCATGAACTGATACCAACCCAAGCATGTTAAAAGGAATTCAGAGGAAGTAGCATGATACAGTGAACGAAAGGCCTAGTTTGCTAGCTCGACCTTGATCAAATCAGTTAATCTCTCTGAGCCTCAGTTTTCCCATCATTAAATGGGGGCGGGGGGGGGGGGTGGTGCCTGGTAGCTTATCAGTACATGTAAAAGTGCACTGCAATCTTTAAAGTGCTAGTCACTTGTTAGGGGTCCATCCTCTGTGACGGAGCCTAGCAGGAGTCTGGGAACAGCTATCTGTGAAGGGTGAGAGTAATGGCCCGATAGGCACCATTTTAACCATTATCCTGGTCCTCTTTAAGATGAGAGAGGGCTCTGTGCTCTTGCACTGCTGCCTGGGGAGGAGGCTGGAAGCAGAACTCAAAAATATCCCATCATACACTGCCCCCCACACACACCTCCCGTTGCTGACCCAATTGCTCAGCCCCAGGCACAATCTGAGCCACCAAAGCTGAGGGATGGAGGACATGTGGAATCAAAGCGATGGGGGAAGAGTCCTGAGATGCTCCAGATGTGCGAGTGACCATGTCAGGAAGGGCCAGGATCAGCTGGAGGCTGAGAGCTCAAGAAACATTTCCCCTTCCCTTCAATGACGAAACAAATTAGGTGTTTGGGAGGCTGAAGCAGCAAGCTATGCTCCCTTACCTTGCTGAGGGGTAGTGGCCCCTGAGACCTAGACAAGTGGACAGAAAGCTCCCGTATCAGTCCGGGACTCCTTCCCTCTCTTCTTCACCAAGACAAACTTCTCTGGCAGAGCTTCAGGACTGAGGGTCCCACCTGTTCTCACCCTGGTGCCTTCCCAGCACTCCCTTCCCTGCAACCTCCTCCAGAGCTGCCACAGCTGGAACCATTCTCAGAGCTGCCTTTCAGCCATGGTGCTCCCCCACCCCCAGTGGCCCCTGTAATTGTGGTCTCAGGCTGCACTGAGGCTGCTGCGGGGGCTGGGGCTGGGCTAAGGGCCAGAGCCCAGGGCAGGGCCAGGGTGGGGCCTAGGGGCTGCCCATGGTGTGGGTCATATGAGGCTGGGGCGGGCACTCTTTCTGGGCTTCATCTGCACGTAGACCAAAACCCTACATATGCCCTCTCCTCCCCAAACTGTGGAGAGGTGCCCCAGGCTTGGTGCTTCTAAACCCTCTTGACATCGGGCCAGAACCACGCCCTAGTGCAAGCAGGGTTGGGCAACATTATTTGTCTCCTGGGGGTTTCGAAGAAAAGGCATTCTCCCTCTCCTCTACATGTCTATGGTTCTTGAACAGTAGAGGGTGGGAGAGCAAAGAGACCCTCCCTCATTAGATGGAGGCCGAAGGAAAAAATCAGCCACTCAAGCAGATCAGTGGTGTTTCCCAAATGTGGTCCTCACAAAAATCACTTGGGATGCCAGTTAGAAAAGCAGATGTCCAGGCCTTGCCCCTGGAAAGGATGGTTCAGCTGCTTGGGACTGGAAGCAGTATTTCCCACAATGGCCCACCCCAGGGGATACGTATGATGCATGGGTACTGGGAAATGCTAGTGTGAGCACTAGGCAGGGAGTAAGGATTAGGAACCCATTCCTAATTGAGCATGTTCCTTTCTGGGCCTCAGTTTCTCTAGCAGCCAATGGGAGCATGACCTCCCAGCCTGGCTTGCCCCTGCCCTCACCCTGGGTTCATGCCTCCTTCCTGTGTTGAGCCTGGTGTTGCCTTGTCCCTCTCTATACCCTTCCCAAAGTCTAGTCCCAAATTTCCTGTGCCTGTAGCATGGTGCCTGCAACATGGTGGGGGGCAGAGGGCAGCTGGGGTCAAACAAGTCTCTGGCTGACACAGACTGCTTCCTCTCCCCCCCCCCCCCGCCCCGCCCCAGCTGTTTTTGTGCTGTCCAGCCAATCTTCTCCCCCTCCTCCTTGCCACCCCCATCCCCCACAGCCTCAAGTCCTTAATTCCTGACAGCTGCGGTGGCTGCAGGCAGAGATGGGGGGAAGAAGGGGGGAGTAGGCCATCAGCCTGCTGTTGCTCAGGCTGCCTCAGCCACCTGACAGCATAGGGACAGAGAAGGCCCCACCCCTCTCAGCCAATTCCCCAGGGTGGGCCAATTCCAGGAAAGGGCCCCTTTTGTCTCTGAGGCCAGAGGTTCGGTAGTTTGTCCTTAAACCAGTAGGGGCTCTCTTCAGAGAGAGAGGGCAGTGAGGTTGGCAGGGAGGTGTGTATATAGAGTGGGAGGCTTGTGCCCATTTTAGAAAGGAGGATGCTAAGGCCTCAGCGGGAGTAGGATTCACTATCAGGGCACAGATTAGACAGGGGTGGGCAAACTTTTTGAGTCGAGGGCCACAATGGGTTCTTAAACTGGACCGGAGGGCTGGAACAAAAGCATGGATGGAGTGTTTGTGTGAACTAATATAAATTCAAAGTAAACATCATTACATAAAAGGGTATGGTCTTTTTTTTTTTTTTTTAGTTTTATTCATTTCAAATGGGCCGGATCTGGCCCGCGGGCCGTAGTTTGCCCACGGCTGGATTAGAACCAGAATCAGACGCTGAAGCCTCTATCCCAACCCTCTGGCTCTCTGGCGCTTGCCTATATTGAGGTGAGCCCAGTGTTCAGCTACAGAGAGAGGACAGGAAGGGACCCCAGAGAGGAGTGGGCCTGAGGCAGGAAGCTGGTGTTGGGGAGCTCCCAGAGGACCTACAGGTGCAGGGCCAGGGCAAGCAGTACTCAGTGTTGGGGCAGTTGCTGCTGTGCTCAGGATCAAGCAAACTGGTGTTAGTTCCAACTCTTCCACCTCCTTGCTGTGTGGCCTTGAGTAAGTCACGACACTCTCTGAACCTAAATATCTTCTTGTGAATAAAAGAGGGTGAAATAAGGTGCCCTTGAAGCACACCTTTAGGATTAAAAGGCTCTCTAACCCCACCCCTCCCAGGGTGTGCCACTCCTGGGTGCTCTGCGCCCAGACAAGCATTTACTACTGGAGTCCCAGCAATTTTATCTTCATTGGCTGGAGGAGGTGACTAGATGAGGGGGGCCTCATTAACCTCATTTCACAAAGGAGCAAAGGGTGCCTCAGTTAGCAGCAGGCACCTGTTTAAGGTCACACGGCGAAGGAGAGCAAGATCCAGAAGCTGCCAAACCCCTCTTTGCAGAATCCTACACCTGCCTCGACAGCCAAGCCTGGGAAGTCCCCCCTGAAGTGGGGGAGGCAGCAGAGGGGCCAGCCCTTCCCCTTCCAGCCCTTGCAGGTGTGTGTATTGGGGGGGACCGCTCCCCAGCAGCTGTGTCTCAGCCAGGCACCCACACCTCCCAGTAACACACACCTTACAACACAAACCAGCACGTCCGGAATACTGGCACCTCCCCGTGCCTACGCGCACAGACCCCAGCCCCCTCCTCCCCTACCCCCCGCGTGTCCGCTCCCACCCAGAGTCCTGAGCGGACGCAGTGGCCTCAGGACGGCGTACACGCCTCCACTCCTCCACCCCGTCATGACGTCACGTGGGGTAGAGCCCTGAGACACGCTGGGGGGGTGGGGAGGCGGCGGCGCTCCCTGAGCTGGGACAGTCACTCACTCTCTGGGCGGCGAGGCCAAGCACAGACAGCGCCGCCCCCCCACACCCCCCACCCCGGCTCGCCCCACACGCCCTCGGAAGCGAAGGCTCGGCGGGACAGCGCTGGGGGGCTGCCCGGCACCCCAGCCTCTCGTCCCCAGCCCGCAGCACCTCCGGGCCCCCCTTACCCTCAAGAGGCACCAGGAGTTGTCGCAGGGGGGGCTCGGGAAATTCCCTGGACCCCTGTGCCAGGAGGTGCCCGGTGCGCCCGCCCGCTACCCCCCCCCCGGGGGCGGTGCCCGGGGGCGCTGCCCCATGGAGCGGGGAGGCGGGCGCCGTCTGCTCCCGGAGCCGTGACCCAGGTCGGAGCTCTGTGTCGCAGCCACCCCGACCCCCGCGGATCATGCGCCGTCGCCCCTGGCTCGCGGGTCCTGCCGGACTGTGAGCCCCCTACTCCCCGCCCATCACGGCCCGCGCGCCATGGGCAGCACCCACCCTTGCCCCTGGCTGCGGCTTCTCCGACCTGGGCCCCAGCCGCGGCCCGCGCTCTGCGCGCTCCTGTTCTTCCTACTGCTGCTGGCTGCCGCCCTGCCCAGGTGAGCCCTCACCTTATGCTCCGCCCTCCTAGAGAGCTGGGACCCCCAGCCACAGAGGCCTCTGGGGACCCTGGAAGGAGGGAGGGACAGTGTCGCAGGAAAGTCCTGCTGCCCAATGAAAGACAGTGTCCTCATAGGAGGGTGTAGAACTGGTGACAGAATATGGGCAGTCCAGGGAGACAGGGCAGTGCCCAGGAGAGTGATGGCTACTAGAAGGGAAGGTGAGGTGTGTGTGTGTGTTTGTGTGTGTGTAGCAAGTACCAAGTTGGAGTCAGTGCTGTGCTGGGGCCATGCACCCCCACCTGAGGAGTAAGTTCAAACTGCCTTGCTTCACCTTGGAGATGGCTCACAGGCAGGGACAGGGTTGGGGGTTGGAAGGGTGTAGCCCAGGTGGGGCCAGTGAGGTACTGAAGATGGAAGGGGTGTGTGTGTGTGTGTGTGTGTGTGTGTGTGTGAGCCCAGCAAGCTGTGTTATGTAAATAGCAGTCTGTATTCACATGTATGTGAATGTGAGAGCTCCTAGATGTTAAGATGAACACATGTGTATACTTGTGTGTCTGTGTGTGTAACTATGTCTGGTGGGTCTGGGTGTTCACCTCAATGTGCAGAAGTGTGTCTTCAGGAATATGACTGTCTGAAACATGTCTTAAAGAGTGGTCTTCTGGGGAATGCTGTGTGTAAGCATCTATGTCTGCAGATGCACTTATAAAATACTGTGTGTTCAGGCATTCCAGATGTGTGCATTTGCACATGTTTACCTGTGTGGGTGTGTAGCTGGGTGGGTTTTGTTGGAGTTGATGCTGGTGAGAAGGTCAAGGAAAAGAGAATGCTTTAGGGGTACACTGATGGGCCCAAAGTCAAAGGCCAGGGGATTATAGCCTTTGGGACAGACTGTGTACTGTTAGATGGGGTCCTCCTAGTTCCCCAAACACTCACCCACCCCCATCCCACTCTGCAGGTCTGCACCCAACGACATTCTGGGCCTCCGCCTTCCCCCGGAGCCCGTGCTCGACGCCAACACCGTGTGCCTGACATTGCCCGGCCTGAGTAAGCGGCAGATGGAGGTGTGTGTGCGCCACCCTGATGTGGCTGCCTCGGCCATCCAGGGCATCCAGATTGCCATCCACGAATGTCAGCACCAGTTCCGGGACCAGCGCTGGAACTGCTCTAGTCTCGAGACTCGAAATAAGATCCCCTACGAGAGTCCCATCTTCAGCAGAGGTAGCTGCCCCTCTTCTTGCCCCTCTGCCTGCCCCATCCAGTACCTCCACCTCAAAACCTATATCTGCCAGCCATCCCCAACCCACTCCCTCAAGCCGGCAACCGCCTCAGGTGCCCATTTGCCAGCCATGCTACCTTTATCTGGTCTCAGAAATGCCCCCACGCACACACAGTGAGTGGGGGAAGGGGCACACAAATGGGGAAGAGTTGGCTAGAGGCTGGGCTGTGTGGGTCCAGGGTGGCAGGTTCCATGCCTGAGAAGGGGACTCCTGGGTTATCCTGCCCTGTGATTGCAATGCATTATCTCAGGCCCAGGAACTATCTATGTCTGTGGCCTGCCTCACTTACCCACCACCTAGCAAACAGCATTGGGGTCAGAGAGCCTGTGATAAAGTACCCAGAATCAGCATGAAGAGGCATGGGGGACGTTTGCCAAATGGCGTAGGTGAGGGAAGCCTGGGCAGGTAAAAGGTCTGTACTTCCGAAGAAGCTCTTCCCAGCAGGGTATGCCACCAGCCTCTGTGTCATCCTCACCTCTCTGGAAAGCTCTCTCTGAATCAGAGGCACTGGGTGTGTGTGCCTCCAGCCTAGTAAGCCTGGAGGCCCTGCCAATTTCTTTTTCCCTCACAACACAGAGAAACTTAAGACTCCTGCCCTCCCTCCTCACTGCTAGGTCATCCAGGTCTCACCTGGGCAGTCCCTAGAATGGCTTGGGCTGGAGATCTAGGAAGGGTTTGTCACTCATTTCTGCTCACACCTACCTCCTGGGTTGGTATCTTAGGCCTTGACTCAGGCGCTGTGGGGAAGATGGGGGTCCTGCCTCCTGGGCGGGCCTGGCTGGATACCTATCTCTCCTACTCAGCTGCTTGGGTGAGGCTATGTGGGGACCCGTGTGGGACAGTGCGAGGACCTCGCTCCTGGGGACTTGTCCAATTCTCGGTTGACGGTGAAGGAGGAAGGAGGGGTACTCCTATACCCTTTGGCCTAGGAGCCTGAAGCTTCTGGAAGAATAAGGCTCCAATGGACCCCAACTTCAGAGAGAACTTAGAAAGCCAGGGTCTTCCCCTTTTCACCAGGACCCCTCGGAGCATTCCCAGTCTCCCCCAGCCCAGCCCCAGGCCGCCCGCCCCGCCCCCGCGCGCTCTCCCTCCTGCCTCCCCCGCGAGCCCGGGGCGCTGTTTCTCCCTGGCGGAGCCCAGCCCGACGCGTGTGGCGGCATGCAGCCGCGAACTAATCCCCGCGGGCCGCAGCAGACGGCTCCCGGGCCCAGCCGCGCCGCTCGGAGAGGGCGCCCCCCGCCCGGCCCTGCGCTCCCGCCCCGCCCGCCCCGCTGCTCTCGAGCCTCTCCAGCCACTGGAGGGCGGCGGGCCCGGACCCCGGCTAGCCGGCCCACCGGCGCCCGCCCCGCCCTGCCCCGCCGGGAGCCGGCCGACGCGAAGTGACAGGCCTCCGCATCTGTCACGCCCCGGCCGGGCCAGGCCGGCGCTGGCCGCCGCCGCGCGCCCGCTCCCACTCCGGGTGGGTCTCTGGGTCACCCGAGTTCCCCGAAGTCACGATCTCCCTCCAGCGCTCGCGCCGCGCAGTGAGGACACCGTAGCACTTTGCTTCGGTTCCGCTCCCCGGGACTCAGGCGGGCGCTGAGCTTCTCAGCCCCGCCGCTTCCGAAGGGGCGAGGCAACGCTAGCTCTTTACCCCTCCTGGCCTCGGCGCCCCTCTTCCTTCTGGTCCTCCTGTCCCTTCTAGACAGAGTGAGCCAGGCGTCCCGGTGGCTGCGCCTGGCGAGGCCCGTGCGCCCAGGGGAGGACGCAGGGTCTTGGACACTGGGGGCGAGTTCCGAGCGGTAGAACCTACCGAGCGGGCTTGGCGCGGCGCCAGGCGCTCCCGGGTTCACCTGCAGTTTAATAAGCGGGAGGTGAGCTAGGGGGACGGTAGGGGGAGAGGTTAGGGGTGGAGGGGGAGACTTGCCAGGGCTAGCCGGGGCGGGGCGGCGCCCAAAGCGGGGAGGGGGCGGGACAGCGACTCCTGGGCTTGGCAAGGAGGCTGGGTTCCTTCCTTTGGCCTCAGAACACCGTCGCACACCTCTGCGGCTTCTGCTCCCGGCATTGCGGCATTGCGACACCTCATTTGTGCCTCTCCCTTGAGGAGGGGACTCTGGGCTTCTGGAAAGGAATTGCCACTCCCCCCTCAAAGGACCTCTCTCATCTCCACCTCTCAGTTCACAGTCATGGGGTCATTTCCTGGTCTGCCCTGGCCCATGGACCTGAAGGACTAGCTGAGTTTAAATCCCATGGGACCACTTTTGGTGGCAGCCAGCCTCTGGTATAAGCCCTTTCCACAGTTTCACTTCATTTTAAGCTCTGGGCTGTCCATTGTGGGGCCAGGTGACCTTAGTTCTGCCACATGGAATATCAAGGTGCTGAGCCCTCTCCTGACCCAGGCTGCCAATGGGGTTTCTTGAAGGTGCATCCTGCCATGTTTAAAATACAGGAACTGCTAGGAAGAGGTGGTCCCTTGGGCCTTCCATTTTAATGCTGTTACTGTCATCTAATTGTCCTGGCACCTTTCCTGAGATGGGTTGGGCTGAGGGATGGGGTTCTAGTGTAGGAGAGAGAAGGAAAGGAGGTGTTCTTGGGAAGGCAGGGCATATAACAGGGCGTTACCCAGCCAAGGAGAAGGGTCTCTAGGAAGCTAGAGTCAGAAAAAAAAAAAAAAGAAAAAAAAAAAGCTGTGAGAGGGCTCCCAGTCCATGCTGGCTGCTTTACCCAGCCCAGGGGCAGCTGTGACCTAAGTGTCAAGGGCACTGGTATTCCCAGCTTTTAGTTCTAGGACCCAGAGGGTTAGTGCCTGGGTGGGTGGAGTATTGGCAGAAGACCAGCTAGAGGGGAGCTCTTCCTTGTGAGAACTAGAGAACCCATCTCTCACTCAGGGACCAGAGGGAGATTTGAGGAAGGGGCTACTTCAGTCTGGACTTGGACCCTGGCGTGAGCAGGGCTCAGAGGACAGGGAGAAGCTTGATGGAGGAGACTGCAATAGATTCACACAGCAGGTCCTGGAGCTCCCACACAGTGTAGGTACTGCCCTCCCTAAGGCCCAGGCCGATTGGATAGAAGGCACAGGAGGCCCCACAGCAAGCCAGGCTCCTAGTGCAGGAGAAGCCAGCAAGTTAGAGTCCAGCCTCTGTTCTCCAAGGTTTTGGTTCTTTCTTCTCCCACCTCCTTTTCACATTCATCCTCAGAGAGTCTTGGTTTCATGCCTAGGTCTCCAGGCTTGGGGTATGTGGCCGAACTCAGATGGGGACACAGGCACAGGCAATCATATGCCAAGGTCACTTAAGGTCCCATTACTCTAGTAAGTCAGACAACACATAGTAAGTACTTGCTGTGTGCCAAGCACTCTTCTAAAGCACTTTATCTGTGCTTCAGGGTCCTCAAACAATCTCCATTCGGGAGGTCCTACTATTATCCTCATTTTACAGATGAAGCTAAGAGAGGTTAGGTAACTTGCCTTTAGTCACACAGCTTGTAAGTGAGCTGTAGAACCAGGACTCAAGTGCAGGCCAGCTAACTTTAGAGATTCCACTCAACTCCTGCCATACTGCCTCCCAAGCTAAAAGGCCACCATGATCTCTGTGCCCAGAGGTGAACTGTGCCATGTAAGAGTAGTCCAAGAAATGAAACTGACATGCACACACACTCCTACCCATGTTTGTGCAAGCATGTAGCCACATTCAGTGTCATCCCTAAGTGTTCCCATATGCACACAACTCTCTCCCTCTCAGCCCAGGCACATGAGCACGCACAGATTGTTTGCACAGAGAGAATGGGGACCAGACCTTTCCCCTTTTCTGTCTGATTCAAATGGGCAGGGCTCAAGCTTCTTTACCCTCTCCAGGTTCCCACTGGCTCCTGAATCCTCTCTCCTCCACACTCCCCTACCCTCCGAATCTCCTCCCCCAGCCCTTTCCTGGCCGTTGGCTTCAGCCTGTAGCAGCAGCTGACTCCACTTAGATGCTGGCAGTCCCTGTCCCAGATCAAAGGCAGAGAGGCTAATTGTGTGTCTTAACGAGCCCCCCACCCCCACCCCAACCAATGCTCCCGGCAGCCCAGCTGGCCATGGCCCCACCCCTCTCCCCCTCCAGCTGGCCAGATGGCACAGTGCCTGCGTCTGCTCCAGACAGTCGGGGCCAGGACCGAAACTGGGGCCCTGAATGGGAACTGGAGGCAGACCCAGTGGGCTGGACTTCTCGAGGCCTGGATACTTAGAACAGAGGGTGGCCACAGAAACTCCGCCTGGTCACACCTACATGGGGCTGTGACAGCTACTAGAAACCATGGAATGGTTTCTTTTGCTGCCTGTGGTAGGTATGGGTGGTCATTGCAGGCTGTGGACTACATTTCTCCAGTTTCTTCCAGCCTATCCTTGAATGTAACAGAGCCTAGAATATGATGGTTGGCTTAGCACATCCCCCTGGACCAGCCTCTTGCTCTTTCCTGGTGCCATCCATAGTCAGTGCCATGGAAACTGGGAACTGGGCTACCTGGTTTCTTACTCAGCAGCAAGTCTTCCCTGTCAAAATCTTTAGCAAAAAGTTGTCAGGCCTGGAAACTGGGAGAGCTGGGGCTGGATCCAGCTCCATAACCCCCATGACTTTGGGCATCTCCCTTTCACTGTGTGTGTGTGTGTGTGTGTTCTGGGGAGGAGATTTCTGAGGTGTGGGCTTTCTCTCGAGATCTGAATATTGCCATTTGTCTAAAGAGCAGACTGATGACTCCCTCAGCAATAAGAAAAGTGCTTCAGAGTTCCATAGACCAGTGGTCGGCAAACTGCGGCTCGCGAGCCACATGTGGCTCTTTGGCCCCTTGAGTGTGGCTCTTCCTAAGCTTTAGGAGTACCCTAATTAAGTTAATAACAATGTACCTACCTACATAGTTTAAGTTTAAAAAATTTGGCTCTCAAAAGAAATTTCAATTGTTGTACTGTTGCTATTTGGCTCTGTTGACTAATGAGTTTGCCGACCACCGCCATAGACAAAACGCAATGGATAAACACAGGCTGTGCTCCTTAGCGTGAATCTGTCCTCCTTTCTCTTGGTCCCCACCTCCCAGAGCAGTGCCTACTCCTCTGCAGCTGCCACCAATTCCCAGTATACCCTTTGAAGGTTCCAGTCTAATATCCATCTCTTCTTGTCTGTTCATAGCTGGCTTCTTATGAAAGGTCCCAAAGATACCACAAGCTGGAAAGAGAAAATAGAGAGGGACAGTCTGCTGTATGGGCTTCTGGTGACCTAAGTAATTTATTGTAGATGAGCTTCTGGGCTCTGTCCCTGATCAGGGAAACAAAAAGCAATGGCCTGAAACTATAGAAATAGTGAGTGAGGTCAGACAGCAGGAAGAACTTAATAGCTAATGTTTACATAGTACTTACTATGAGTAAGGTATTATTCTAAGTACTTTAAATTTACTAACTCATTTAATCCTTGGAACAACAGTGAGGCAGATAATAATAACCCTGTTTTACAGACGCGAAAAGTGAGGCACAGAGAAGTCAAGTCACTTGGCCAAGGTCATATAGCTATTGACATCTAGTAAGTGGAAGAGCCTAGATTTGAACCCAGGCAATCTGATTTTAAGTTCATAATCTTAACTACTACTATATATCTTGGGTTTTTTGTTTGAGTTGGTTGGGCAGGAAGAGAAGGACAGGGGCCTGTGGTGCACATGGTGAGGTTGGGCTAGGGTCTCTGTCCAGTCTTGGTTGGCTCTCTGGAGCTGTAAGTCCTCTGAGAGCATGCCCTTCCATTCTTTGATGCTGAATGGAAGGCCCCAGTTTTTCCTCTGAACCTCGGGCCTCCCCCAAGGCCTTCAGCCTCTGGCTAGTTTTGGGCTTCCTCAGCAGAGGCCCATGGCACAGGTAGATTCTCCTCTTTGTATGAGGACTATTATTACTTTTAGCTTCTTTCATTGCCCACACAGGTTCAGAGACTGGTCAGAAACTTGTCCCAGAACCTGCTCATAGCTGGTCCTTTCTCAGATGCAGAATAAGCAAGAAGCAGCTGTGGGTCTGGGAGCCAGATACTCTTCTGCAAGTAGGCCTCCCCTGCCACAGGCCCAGACCTACCAGGGATGTCCCAGAGAAAAGCTCTGGGAACACCAAGGAGGAAAGCAGTGTAGACAAGTCAGTGGCCAGGCTGGCCCAGCCCTGAGCCCCTGAGAGTGGCTCATGAGGGAGTCTTTGTGCCCCCCACCCTCACCTACCAACACCAGCATCTCAGGGAAAGTGTCTGTGTTAGATCGCGCTTCCCTCTCAGTTTTCAACACTATTATGCTTGACCCCATGCAAGGCACAGGGCTCACCTCTAGCATCCCTCAAACAACCTTCAGCTGACCTAGACTCACCACAGGTAGCCCTTCTCTGAGCAGATGTTCAGGAATGTCCTGTGGAGAGGAAAAGGGGAAACTCTGCCAATTGATTTCCCTGCCTCTCAATTCTGGCCCCAGAGAGGTTCTATGGTGGACCTGGAGGGCGGGGGGGGGGGGGGGGGGGGGGGGGCACCAGGCAGGCAATCTTGGGGCCAGGAGCTTTAGGAGGATACCAGCTCCTCTGACTTACCCATCTGCCCATTAACATTTCCTGCAACCTGGAATTCCATCACTGGTGATTTACTGTTTAGGTTACCTAATTTGCCTTCTTTCTGCAGGCTTATTTTTACAATGCAAATATTATAAGAGAGGTAGTAGATCAAATCCCTGATTTTATTTTATTTTAAATATATATCGAGCCCACAACCCAGGCATGTGCCCTGACCAGGAATCAAACCTGGGACACTTCAGTTTGCAGGTGGACACTCTATCCACTGAGCCAAACCAGCTAGGGCAAGTCCCTGATTTTAAAAAGAATGTTTACTACCAGATACCTTCTGTCCAAAAGGAGAGATGTAGATACAAATTCTGAGCTTGTTAAGGGTGATGTTAATGAAACAGAGAAATAAGTGCCAAAAAGGAGGGTTATGAGGGAGACTCCCACCACCTGCATCCTCTGGGCAGAACTTGTGGTGTGATTTATCACCCCCTTTGACTCTGTGCTCTATAACAGGCCTTCTCCCAACACTGGGCTTCAGTTTCCCCTCTGTATGGTGAGAAGCTTGGGTAGAGAAGGCAGAGGAATGGGATGTCAAGGCTGCTCAGAGCCTACGTTTCCTGGATCTCTACCTGCAGGTTTCCGAGAGAGTGCCTTCGCGTATGCCATTGCTGCAGCCGGCGTAGTGCACGCGGTTTCCAATGCCTGTGCCCTGGGCAAACTGAGGGCGTGCGGCTGTGATGCATCCCGGCGTGGGGATGAGGAGGCCTTCCTTAGGAAGCTGCACCGCCTACAGCTGGATGCGCTGCAGCGGGGTAAGGGCCTGAGCCACGGGGTTCCCGAGCACCCAGCCCTGCCCCCTGCCAGCCCTGGCCTGCAGGACTCCTGGGAGTGGGGCGGCTGTAGCCCTGACGTGGGCTTTGGGGAGCGCTTCTCTAAAGACTTTCTGGACTCCCGGGAGCCTCATAGAGACATCCACGCACGCATGAGACTCCACAACAACCGAGTTGGGAGGCAGGTAAGAACTACCCTTCCCAACCCCTCACTCTACTCCCTCTGCCACAACCTCTCCCCTTCCCCAGCTTGCCTCTCCTCTGGGAACCACATGGCTCCCCCTAACTCAGCAACTTTCTCATTGCCCCCTCCTAATTCAGTCAACAAGCATGGATTGAATATCTACTGTGTGCCAGGCACTTGATTAGGCCTGGGGATAGAGGGCAGAAACAACCCCTGCCCAAATTAACTCACCCTCTGCTGAGCAGCCTGCTCTGCCCATTTCCTCTGGGAACAATGGTGAGAGACAGGGTTGTAGTCAGACTTCAGGGGTCTAGGCCTGGCTCTGCCGCCCTCTCTCCTCCCCTATGAAGTGGGAAATTTGAACTGGATCATCTATAAGGCCATCGCTCTAGTGTTCCATGATTCTGTGATATCCTCTGCTGCAACCTTCTTCTCTCCCAACCTTTCTGTGAAGAATGGGGAATTCCTCAAAGTGAGGTTCCTAGGAACCTCTATAGAACTGTGTCCCAGTCTCCCCTACCCTCAAATGGTCATGCTACCTCAAATGTCTCATTCAATTGAAGAGAGAGACAGAGAGAGAGAGAGATGAAAGTAATAATAAACTGGATTTATTGAGTGCTTACTATATGTTAGGTACTGTTTGGAGCACTTTACTACGTATTAGCCTACTTAATCCATACAACTACCTATTGAGGGCACTATTATGAACCTCAGGTTAAGATATGGAAACTGAGGCACAGAGAAACTAAACTGACTGAAGGTGATGTAACCAGTGGGAAAGGGGTAGAAGCAGGATTCATCTCTGGGCAGTTGAGCTCTGGGGCCCTGCTCTTTTGCTTACAGCATAGTCTACTCTAGGTGCACACCTACACTAAGGTGCCTCCTTAGCCTCATGGTAACTCCGCACTCTTCTTTCCTGGCGATTCCACCCCTACCCTGCCCCTTCTCTTGTCCTGCCAGGCCTACTCAGGCCTTGGTCCTGGCTTCCCTTCACTCTGGCTGGCACCTTCTCCATCTCACTCCCCTTTCTCCTGGCCCCTCAGTCAGGCTGGCTCACCCTCTCCTTCCAAAAAAATCTCCAAGCTGATTTAGCTCTTCCCATTCTGCCTTAGGGGTGAAGTAAACTGAGGCATATCCACACTCAGGTCAAGTCTAGCTCCCACCCAGTCCTGCCCTGTCCATGCAGCTCTTTTCCCAAGCTTCAGTACTATCCCAGCCCATACCAGCAGTGCCTCCTCCTCATCGTTAAACTGGCTAATTAATGGCTGCTGCCTGTGGGAAGCAGATGTTCTGGAGCTGTTGGCCAGGGAAGGCTTTGGGCTGGTTCCCATGTGGTGCTGACACCACAGGCTGCACATACAGGCTGAGGAGCCCTTTAAAACATGGATGAGCGGGGTGTCTGTCTATGGCCCTCTTGCCCAGGTTGAGAGCCCCTGATCATTGCCCTCCCTGTCTGAGGGTGTATTTTTGACATGGAACGGGGAGCGGGGGGGGGGGGGGGGGGGAGGATGTGGTCAACTCCCTCTTGGTCCTCTGGTGAGGATAATGCCAAGGGCTTCTTTGGGAGGAGACTCCAGAGAAGAGCAGGGCGTGGGTAGGTTCTGTTCCCTAACCACCTCCTTTGGAGGTCTGCGACCTCTCTCCACTTTCATTGGGTTGGCGGGTCTGCTCTTTGGGCTCTGTTCCCATTCTGCATTCAGGTAAAGCCTTGGAGCCCTGTTGGTGTTGTTTCCTAGGAGGAACTATGTACTCCGCATTGGGCAGAATAAGCCCCAGGCAGTCTGCTGGGGGGAGGGCCGTCTCTCCATCCCCTCCCCCGCCTAGGTTCCCAGCAAAGGGCTTCAGGGCCCAGAGGAGGAAAGGGGCTTTTTCAGACTCCCCAAAGCCCCCACTCACAGCCTGGAGCAAGGCCAGAGGCTTTGGGGCTGGGATGTAGTGGGGCCAGCACACCCCTGCTTCTGGCCCCCACCTGAGGGATGGAAGGAGAGGGAATTTCCCTGAGGATCTGGGATCCCCCCTCAGGAAGCAAGAGCCTCCAGCCCCAAGGGCCCCCTGCAGGTGCTGGGAAAGGCGGGCAGGGGGAGGGGGGAGCAGGAAAGAGGGAATTCCCCCAAGGCCTGGCCTGGTGGGAGGTGGGTGCGAGAGCAGCAGAAGAGCAGGCAGATTTCTCTTCTGCACAGCCTGGCTCAGGGGCTGTGCTACCCCCACCCTCCAACCCCACTTCGGGCCTCAGTTCAATGGGCGTTGGTTTCAAAAGCCTCTGACTCTCTCAGACCAGTGTCTTGTGTTGGCAGGAGGGCAGTGGGGTGGCCTGGGTCACTTCTCACCGTGCCTCCCTCTGCAGGCCGTGATGGAGAACATGCGGCGGAAGTGCAAGTGCCACGGCACCTCAGGCAGCTGCCAGCTCAAGACCTGCTGGCAGGTGACACCGGAGTTCCGCGCTGTGGGGGCGCTGCTGCGCAACCGCTTCCACCGCGCCACACTCATCAGGCCGCACAACCGCAACAGCGGCCAGCTGGAGCTGGGCCCAGGCGGGGCTCCCTCTCCGGCCCCGGGCGTTCCCGGACCACGCCGCCGGGCCAGCCCTGCAGACCTGGTCTATTTCGAGAAGTCGCCCGACTTCTGCGAGCGCGAGCCGCGCCTGGACTCGGCGGGCACCGTGGGCCGCCTGTGCAACAAGAGCAGCGCGGGCCCCGACGGCTGCGGCAGCATGTGCTGTGGTCGGGGCCACAACATCCTGCGCCAGACACGCAGCGAGCGCTGCCACTGCCGCTTCCACTGGTGCTGCTTCGTGGTCTGTGAGGAGTGCCGCATCACCGAGTGGGTCAGCGTCTGCAAGTAGCAGAGGGCTCCCCTCCCTGAGACTGGCCTTTTCCCTGCTGCTTGAGACCTTGACAGAGTCGCCTTGGCTCCTGGGAGAGGAGGTTGAATCACATGATCTTATAGGAACCTTCCAGTTCTGAGGGTCCTCAAGTTTGTAATCACGGGAAAGTCTAGACCTCCGTACGCACTTCTGTGGGCTCCAAGCTCCAGCTGCTCAGTTGGGCTGGGAATTGCCCCACATCCTGGGGCAAGTGCCACCAACCCCATGCCTGGTTCCTTTCATCCTTCCTCCCTTCCCCTGGAGTGGGAGGGAATGAATGGAAGCTGGTGGGCAGCGGGAAGAGGATTGAAAAGAAGAAATGGAGCGGCAGAGATCCTAGAGAGGCCCAGACACCCTCCCAGCACCCTCCCTCATCATTCAATTAACACATATTTATTTTGCACTCTTTGTGGCCTGGTACTCTTCAGGGGATGAGGGGTGCTGGGAATACAGATGTGAATAAGAGAGACAGCACCTGCCCTCTTGGAGTTTACATTCTGGCTGGGGGAGATGGACAATAAACAAGTAAATACATAAACAAGTTCATTTCAGACAATGCTCATTTCAAAACATTGCAATGCTATGTGCGATGAAGAAAATAAAACAGAGTGCTGGATGTAGAGTAATTTGGGGGGAGTGGGGCTCCTTTAGATAAAGCCATTGATTGGTCCAGGAAGGCCTCTGGAGTTGTGATACTGTTGCTGGGGGCCCCATGAGAAGGAGAGCCATGCCCAGATTGAGGGTAAGGGCTTCCCAGGCAGAAGCCATGTGAATGCAGACGCTCTGATGAGGAATAGCGAAGAGGCCAGTGTGATTGGAGTGAAGAAATCAAGGGATAGATTAGCAGAGAGGAGCTGAGTGCAGGGGAAGGGTCATATCATGCGTCCTAGGTCAAGGTAAGGAGTTGGGATTTTATTGAAGAGGAATGGAAACCTTCACAGGGTCTTAAGCAGGCACAGGCAAGTGTCATGGTCTGATTCCCACCTGATTACTGCATGGGGAACTGGCTGAAGGAGGACAAGTTGACAGCAGGGGAGCCAGTTAGGAGACTATAGCTGTCTTCCAACCCAGAGATGGGGCCCAGACTAGATGGAGTGGAGGCAGGGGATGTTGACAAGGGGCTGGCTCAAGAGCCCTTGATGCCAGAGCTCTAGCAGTCCAGCTTGTATCTGAACCTTCTGCCACAAGCCAGGACGAGTGGCTGTGCCCAGCAGCACCCGTCAGCAGAGACAGGAGGCACTCTGAGAAGAGTAATCCTGGGCAAGACCCAGCTCAACCCAGCCCAGTGCCCCAGGGAGCAGGTGGGGTTAGGAGGTGCGGCTGGGAGAAGGGTGGCGGGGGAGGGCCAGGAGACTCACTGTCTGGATTCTGGTCTCTCTGAGTCCAGGCAGGGGAGGTGGGGTATATAAGGCTGGAGTGGGGGAGGAGGCATCCTTCCTGGACCTCTTGTGCCCCCAGATCCCCAACTCAGGGTGCCCTTGGGTCAGCAAGCACATCCCCATCCTCATGCCCCCATGAAAACACTGCTGAGCTGGTTCAGTGTCACACTCTCCTTGGCTCTCAGATCTGATGTTTTCTGGAACAGATCCTCAGAGAGGAGGTGGGAGTGGAGAGGAAGGTGGGATCAGGATCTTAGGGAGAGAACACTTCACCTCTTCATCCAGGCCTCCTGCTGCTCACAGCTGGGGATCCTGCTGCTTGCCTCAGTTCACCCCAGAGTGCCACCCTTCATGATCAACTGGACAAGGACAGAGTCTTATTCCTCTCCCCAGTTGCCAGCCTACAAAAATCCCCCATATTTCCCTAGCCCTGTCCCATGCCTCCCTACCCCTGGGGAAGGGTAAGAAGGAAAGGATACACCCCTGTAGGCCCACCAGCTGGGAGATTTGACCTCACTAGCTTGTCTTCAGCTCCCTCCCCTCCAATGCCTGCATCCCAGCAGCTCCCAGACATGCCTACGGCAGCATGGTCTTCCTTTCACATGCTCAGCTTTCCTGCCTCTATGGAATACAGGGTTTCTCTCCCCATCCCCCAAAAGACAGCCCCACAGGCAGGCAGGCCGGTAAGAGTCCCCAGGGAGGAGGGGTAAGCAGGAGCAGCCAGACACACCTGCCTCATTCCTTTCCTCTTGTTCACCCAGGAGAGCTGTGGGGGCTGGGTTCCCTGCCATACCATCCTGAGGAGGAGGAGGGAGGGGGGGGGTGGAATGGTGGCACGTGGGGAATGGAGGAATAGGGGGTGGGCACTTCCTCCCCCCAGCAGTGTCCACTACAGCATAAGCTTTGTCCTCCTCCTCCTCTGCCTTCCTTGCTTAAGGAAGACACCTGGGGGAGGAGAGGCTGGAAATGGGGGACATAGGATCAGGGTTGGAATTTGGAGGCAGGAGGTGTAACTCTGGAGAGCATGCTGCCTCTAGAAGGAAGGGTGGGCGGTGAGGTGTGGCAGGGGGCTGGACACCAGACCAGTTGAGTCATGGTGATCTAACATATGCTAGTCTGACATGTAAAGGAAGACAGGACAAGTTGGGGAAGGAACAAATAGGGTGTTGCCCACCCCCATCCTCCCTCTGGGCCAGAAGCTGACTAGAGTCCTGAGACCAAAGCTGGATCCCATAACTGAACAGGCAAGGGTGTGTGGAATTTGGTAAGGGCCTGAAGGGAGATGTGGAGATGATGAAGGGCAGGGAAAATGGGGCCCAAGAGGCACTGGGCTTATGTATACCGGCTGAAGGGCGAGGCAGGAATCAATGTACTGATTGCAAATAGGGGAAAGGGGCTGAAATACAGTGGGACAGTGGAGGAGGATGGGAGGAAGAACTTTCCAACAGCTCAGAGAGGACCAGGGCTGAGATTTGGAAATGAGAACAGAAGGGGGACCAGAGAACATTCAGAGGAGAAGGGGACCATCTCCGCCCTCAACACCTTTCACCTTGATGGACGCTGAGTCATCTTGCAGAAGGAAAACATAGTTTGGTCTAGTGCAGTGGTTCTCAAACTTGGCTGCACATTAGAATCACCTGGGAATCTTTTTAAAATCCTGATTTCTGGGCCTCATCCTCCGGAAATTCTGTTTCTTTGTTACTAATGTTGTGGCCTCACCCCATAACAAAGAAACAGAATTTCCGGAGGATGAGGCCCAGAAATCAGGATTTTAAAAAAAGATTCCCAGGTGATTCTAATGTGCAGCCAAGGTTGAGAACCACTGGTCTAATGGAACCTGGAAGGTCCCAACGGGAGGATGGGGAGGAATAGAGAATGAGGGTGGTGGACAGATCAGCAGGCAGTGGTGGGTTCAAGGTCAGGGAGAAGCAGCCAGATTAGTGTGGGGATCAGAACCCAATCATCTTGCTTTACAGTCGCCCAAGGTCCCAGGGTTGGAAAAAAGAAGAGGAGAGAGGCAAAGGTAGACTTTGGTAGCTGTCGGAGGGCCCTGGTGGGTGAGAAGCAAGGTCAGGGGCATCCTCACCATACCCCTCCTTCCCCCGAATTAAGGTGCCCCCAGCTAGCCCCCGGCAGGGGGCCTTCCACACTGGAGTTTGGCCAGGCCCTAGTCGCGGTCCCCCTCCTCCCCTCCCACTCCCACTTCTTATGTGGTTGCCGGCAGCTGCCTGCGGTCGCCCCAACCCCTGCGCTCAAGGCGCGGGGACTTTCCAACAGGGGAAAAAATGACTTAATGAGAGTGGGAGCCGGGGGCGGGAGGGACAGGTCCCTGTAATCACTGCTCGGCTGTTGGGCCTGCGCGCCTCCGGGCCCTACCCCAGCTTCCTGCTGCCAGCGCCCCCTTCGGGCTCTGCTGGGAGAGGAGGACGGGTGGGGACAGGGGGGATTCCTTTTTAGGTTCCAGGCTCTCTGGGGCTCTCCAGCTGCTTTTGCTCCCTAGGCTTGCAGTGTGTGGAAGCTGTAACACCCCATGATCCCTCTCTGGACTTTGTCCTGGAAGTTGGGGGAGGGCAGTCTCCTGAGGAACCAGGGTCCTCTGCTGGTGAATTAGAGGGGTGAGGGATCGTGAGCAGAGCAGAGCCCTTTGCCACTTCGCGGCTGCGCACTTCGAAACGCCCCCGGTTGCTGTGGCAACCAGGGCAGTCGAGGTGTGTCCGCAGGGCTGGGAGGCGCCCCCCGCCTCTTCTCGCCGCCCTTCGGGCCAGGCCGGGCTGCTGCGGTGCGCGGGGGTGGGGGTGTGCCGTTACCATGGCAAGGGTGCGCTAGTAGGGCACATTCTTCCCCAGGGTGGGAGCGCCCTAGGGATACGAGAAGGGGGGGAGGTGACGGGGGTGGCAGAAAGAGGAGGGGGGGTGGTCAGGACGAGGGAGGAGACTCGGACAAGACTAACCAGGACTTCTGGGGTTGGAGTGGGGAGTTTGGAATCTGCTCCCCGCACCCCGTCCCCTCCCCTCCCCCCCCCCCCCCCCCCCAGCTCTCAGGGCGTTCCGCTCCTCCTCTTGCATTCTCTCTGGGGTTTAAGCCCCCAACTCCGAGTTTCCGGGGAAGGGATCCCCAACTACCGACCCGAAAGCCCTGCAATTAGCCCCTCGGCTGCCCGCCGGTCCTCCGCTAGGTAGGGCCTGCACCGCCAATTACAACAGCGCGCAGCAGCTGATTACTCCCGAGTCCGGGAAGCCGCCGGGGGTGGGGACAGCAGGCAGGTCAAAAGGGCGGTTCCCTGGGGTTGTCCCCTGCCCAGCGTCCTTAATTGGAGCTTGGGGCTGAGGCCTTCTTAGCCCAACTTCTCTGCACCAGACAATATGCAGAGGATTCCGTCCTGCTGTGCCTCAGTTTCTCTCTCCTGGAATGCACACCGCACCCAGGACAGAAAGCGCCAGGAGGATCTGTGTGCGTGTGTGTGAGAGTTGGAGCGTCTGAAGTCGAGGGTTGGGTATTCAAGAAGCTCAAAGCCCTCGAGGCCGGTTCTCTTTCCCGCTGCAGACGGTCGCGTGGATCTCTCTTGGCCCGGGGCCCACTCGATGGACCCGGCTCGGTCTTGCTGAGCCAACCCCAGGTCCCCTGCCAGTTCATACCGCACTTCTGTGGGAATCAGAAAACGGCGCCCCCTCTGGGCGGGAGGCTACCCTCTTCTGATACACAAGTGAAGGCAATCTGGGAGCCTGCAGAGCACAGACAGTGGGGAACTCTGCCACTCCCCTTATCCCCTGCCATCCCTTCTTCGCTCTCGCCCCGCCTGCGGGTCTGCAACGGCTGGGGTAGAGCTCATTTCTCCCGCGGTCCAGCAGTCCACATCTGGCGGGCAGCTGGAACCCGCCCACTGAGAACTACTGCGGACCCAGCGCCCTCTGTTGGTGAGGAACGGCGGCGCACCAGCTTTTGAGCCCGGACCGCCCGCTGTCGCAGCCTGCCTGGGGTGGGGTTGGGGCTCCACCTTTCCGCGCCGCGAGCTCTTGGGTACCACCCACCCTCTGCCGCCCACCGTTCCCAAATCGACTCCTTTAGGCCCTATGCATTCCGCCGGCCGCACCCTCGCTGACCTTCTTTCCCCCTTCTCTGCGTGCTTAAAATCTTGCCCGGTGACTTAACCATTCCCCAA